GATAAACAAATACTAGCAGTAACAACCCTCTCATTTAACTGAGCACAAAGTCACAATTTTTGGACTGCCCACTGAGGATTGACCTCACGCTAGTAGAAACAGCCTTTTATATTCCAGATCAGTTATTTTCAACCCGTCTGAGGCGGCACACTGGTGTGCCGCGAAAGGGTCGTATGTGCGCCGCGAAAAATTTTAAAGGTTATTAATGAAATTATTTTCGAAAGAAATTCAATGTACAATAAGAGTACATTTCAAAATTAAAACCCCTTTAAATTGATTATATGAGTATATCATTGTTATAATAAATAAACGTATACATAGTATATAAAATAATAGAAAAAGCAAGCTTCTCGGCAATAAAAAATAAAAACCAAAATCGACCAAGCCGAGAATTCTTGGAAAAAGATTCAAGAACATGCCTGTCCAAAATTCGACCTTTTTTCTTAAAAAAATCGTCAATCTCAAATATCTCCTCAAATGTTAAATTATAAAAAATAAAAATGGTTTTTAAAAATTTTAATTCTTATCTTTTTATTACAAGCTATAATAAATTGTTTTTTTCGTATTAATAAATAAATTATAAAAATTATTGTCGTTTTTTGACCATCATAATTTAAGTGTGCAGCGGAATTGTGACCCGGAAGTGTAACCATAGATTCACGTGTGCCCTGGAAATATAGCTATAGGTTCAAATGTGCTCCGTAACTCTAACTATAGGTTCAAGTGTGTCCTGGAAGTTTAAATATAGGTTCAAGTGTGCTCAGGAAGATTAACTATAGGTTCAAATTTGTCCTTGAAGTTTAACTATAAATTCAAGTATGCCCCTTAAGTTTAACTATAGATTCAAGTATGCTCCAGAACTTTAACTATGTGTGTCCTGGAATTTAACTATAGGTTTAAGTGTGCCCCGGAAGATTAACTATAGGTTCAGGTGTGCTCCGGAAATATAACTATAGGTTCAAGTGTGCCCCGGGAGATTAATTATAGATCCAAGTATATCCCAGAAGTTTAATCCTAGGTTCAAGTGTGTCCCGGAAGATTAACTATAGGTTCAAATGTGCCCCGGAAGTTTAACTATAGGTTCAAGTGTGCTCCGAAAGATTGACTATACGTTTAAATATGTCCTTGAAGTTTAACTATACGTTCAAATGTGCCCGAAAAATTAACTATAGGTTCAAGTGTGTCCTGGAAGTTCAAATATAGGTTCATATGTGCTCCGGAAGATTAACTATAGGGTTCAAATTTGTCCTTGAATTTTAACTATAAGTTCAAGTGTGCCCTTAAGTTTAACTATAGATTCAAGTATGTCCCAGAAGTTTAATCCTAGGCTCAAGTGTGTCCCGGAAGATTAACTATAGGTTCAAATGTGCTCCGGAAGTTTAACTATAGGTTCAAGTGTGCTCCGAAAGATTGACTATACGTTTAAATATGTCCTTGAAGTTTAACTATACGTTCAAATGTGTCCGGAAAATTAACTATAGGTTCAAGTGTGTCCTGGAATTTAACTATAGGTTCAAATGTGCTCCGGAAGTTTAACTATAGGTTCAAGTGTGCCCCGTAATTTTTTAACTTCTCTCTATCAATGTTTCCCAATTATTTCTGTTCGCAACTCTTAACCCTCCGTTAGTATCCTGGCGTGTATGAATACCCCACAAAATACTGTATTGGATTTTTGTTGTTTTTTTTTCTTGCTTTCAAAATGCAGGTCATTTTACTATAAATATATATTATTGGTAATTTTACTACCAATATGTATTGTTGATATGCATATAAAGGGTGTTTCATTAAGACGGATTATATATAAGGGTGTTTCATTAAGACGGATTATATATAAGGGTGTTTCATTAAGACGGATTAAAGTCAGCAGTGTTATTGGTGAAAATTTATTCATTTCTCTATTGGATCATGTTATTTAAATCATGGCAATTATGTGTGAAAAATAATATCGCCCAAATGTCCGCCAAATCTGAAAGTAAAAGAAAAAATCATTAGACGCTTAAACTTAATTCACATTAAAATCGGTCGAAGTTATTAGAACACACTTTATATATATATATATATATATATATATATATATATATATATATATATATATATATATATATCATTAAATAATATAGACAAGTGTTGTCTATTTATTTTATGTAAATCTTTTTCATAACGTCTGATAAGTTTAATAACATTATCGTTGAACGAAGAAAGAAATTCATAATATTGATCCCTATTTTTTAATACAATCTAAGCTTTCGGCTTACATAAGCCATTATCAAAGATGTCAATTACAACATATTAAGCAATATACGGACAAGACAGTGATGATAGTCTGTCATTGTTTACATAGATGATTTCCAAGCAACGATAAACACGTGCATATAAGATGCTAGAAGCGAAAATCGCACCGCATCTCATGACGTCACACATGACCACATAAGAGTGAATGGGAAGCCATTGGAAGCTGTCTTCCAATATGGATCAATATTGTGAATTTCTTTCTTCGTTCAACGATAATGTTATTAAGCTTATCAGACGTTATGAAAAAAAATTACATAAAATAAATAGACGACACTTGTCTATATTATTTAATGAAACGTGTATGAATGAAAAGATGCTGCCTAAATACACACAATATATATATATATATATATATATATATATATATATACACACGTATATACGTTTCAGTAAAGACAACTGACAGGGCACTGAGGTTAAGGTAAGCATTTTATTTAATATTGCTTTAATACAAGTGTTTTCTTTTCTGGACACAAAGTGTGTATAAACTGTCCAGAAGTTCTGTATATCTGAGCACTTTTGGTTATTCTTTTTAGCCATTATCAAGAATGATTTTTTTTTCTCTTTTGACACACTATGTGCACCAGTTCTCTGTATTCGATTTTACCAAAAAGTGGTGTTGGTTCTGCACAAACCTTCACCATGATAATCAAATCATGCATGTGGATAGTCTGGCTGTTCAGTTATATATATATATATATATATATATATATATATATATATATCTTATGTAGTGGTTTCACAGTGGAGGCTTGTATTTGTACTAAGTCGGTCCTAAAATAGGTTCGACGTACAAAACGTTAGGAACTTGATATAATAGGTAATGACGCAGTAATCTAGTTGTGCTGGCTGATACTTTAATATCCGACTAACGGTCGTCCGACATCGACTGACTGACCAGCTCACCGCTGACTCACTTGTTACTCTTACTACTCCTATTTATTATAGGTGGGAGAGTCTATTAACTATAGAATAGGTGTGTTCCACTATAACAATATATATATATATATATATATATATATATATATATATATATATATATATATATATATAGTACAGGTAATCGATCCGTTGGTATATAATCCGGGTGGATCCTAGTAATATTAATTATGAAAACTTATCCACAGAGAGATCAATGTATTTATTGTAACAGAGCTTATGTATTTTTTACAGCAAAAAAACAAAAATTACCTCAACATAGAAGATAGTCTATTCTAAGCCGTTCTGTCCGCGACTATCATCAGCCCCTAAGTGTATGTCTTGGAGAATCGTTTTAAATTTATTTTCTATGTCAGTCCTCCTCTGGTAAACGCCTTGTTAATGAGAATGGGTTGTGTTAGCGATTTGTCGGGGCGTAAAGTGTCTTATCCCGGGGGAAGCAGTCTGGGGTTGGATTTTATTTATGGCCAGGACCTTTCGTTGTTTGTAGTTTAATATCAGTTCCTACTATGTGGCGTTTCTTATAAAAGCCCCGAGTATGTTTTTCATAGTAAATAGTTTTTTTTTTTTTTTTTTTTTTAATACAGGTGTCCAATATTATTAATAATCGATGGGGGATTTAAACTTAAGATTAATGTAAATTAGTTGTGTTAGAGATTTATAGATTTTGAGTAATACCAGAGCACCCAATGGAATAACTCATGATGTCCAACACACTTATATGCGTATATAAAACAATGATCCGAGACAGACACTCAGGGACTGATGATAGCCGTGTACAGAATACAGAACGGCTTGAAATAGATTATCTTCTATGTTGAGGTAATTTTGTTTTTGCTGTAATATATATATTACAGTTACTGATATATATATATATATATATATATATATATATATATATATATATATATATATATATATATATATGACTGACTAATATTCAAATATGTGTGGAAAAACATTCTCGACGCTAAGGGTGTAAAAGTTTGTAAGATGTCGTAGCATGTCTTGATTGGATACGTGCAACTGACTAGCCTATGCAAGACCATTACACAACGCACCGTTGAAGATGAACGTAGGCGATCCCCCCCTCGCGTAAAAAGTGGTTGGACAATGTCAAACGATAGACAGGTATGATTATACCAGAATTGCTGATGTCTACCGTTGATAGACCGTTGTGGAGGAGATTTACTGTGGCTTCTGCATTTGGGTCCCTCCCCACTCCGATTAGAAAAGCCGAGGGGATGATGATGATGATGACGATGATGATACATGAGTAAAGCATGTTCCATGACAGCAACAAGGTCCTTAGATTAGTTGACTGTACACAGCAAGGACCTTATCTCAATATACCTAAATTTTTATCATGAATTTGCAAATTCGAGCGGATATTGATTCTCAGAAAGAAATTTAATAGTTTTGTGCGAACAAAAATCTTGCTACGATGTGCCGTTTTTTTTTCTGTGTTATGGTAACACAACTGTAAACAAAAAAAATGGATCATTATAGTGTAAAAAAAAACAATGCAACCTATTCTTACATTCTAACTTTGAGCGACATAGGAAGAAATCATGTTCGTAAAAGGTTCGTGACTTGTTGAGATGAGAATACTATAGGTGTCTAAATGTCTAAATACTTTCTGTAGGCCTGACGAATGGTATCATCATTTTTAGCTGCCAGCTCTGTGTCTTATCTCTTTGCATTGCTTAGATGCCACCAACAGAAAGAAAGAAAATAACACAATAACAAGATAGAAAGAAAGAGTACAATCAAACATAATAGAAAGAAAACAGAAGGAAAGAAGGAACGAATAGAAAGAGAAAAAGAAAGAAAACCGAATAGAAAGAAAGAATAGAATAGAAAAAGAAAAGACAGCCTAGAAAGAAAGAAAGAAAGAAAGAAAGAAAGAAAGAAAGAACAGAAAGAAAGAACGGAATAGAAAGAAAGAAAAAAGAAAAAAACAGAAAGAAAGAATACCTTAGAGTGCAGAAAGAAAGAAAGAAAGAAAGAAAGAAAGAAAGAAAGAAAGAAAGAATAGCCTGGGGTACAAATAGAAAAAGAAAGAAAAGAAAAGAAAGAAAGAAAGAAAGAAAGAAAAAAGAAAGAAAGCCTGAAAAAGAAAGAAAGAAAGAAAGAAGTAAAGAAAGAAAGAAGTAAAAGAAAGAAGAGAAAAAGAAAAAAAGAAAGAATAACTCAAAATACAGAAAGAAAGAAAGAAAGAAAGAAAGAAAGAAAGAAAGAAAGAAAGAAAGAAAGAATAGCCTGGGGTGCAAACAGAAAGAAGTAAAGAAAGAAGAGAAAGAAGAGAAAAAAGAAAGAATAACTCAAAATACAGAAAGAAAGAAAGAAAGAAAGAAAGAAAGAAAGAAAGAAAGAAAGAATAGCCTGGGGTGCAAATAGAAAGAAGTAAAGAAAGAATAGAAAGAAGAGAAAAAAGAAAGAATAACTCAAAATACAGAAAGAAAGAAATAAAGAAAGAAAGAAAGAAAGAAAGAAAGAAAGAAGGGATAGTTTAGAGTGCAAATAGATAGAAAGTATAGAATGAGAAATAGAAAGAACTGCCTCGAATTGAAACAGAAAGAAAGAATGCAAAAAACGAAGGAAGCACAAAATGAAAAAAGAAAGAAAGAATAGCCTAGAGTGCACATCGAAATAAATAAAGAAAGAAAGAAAGAAAGAAAGAAAGAAAGAAAGAAAGAAAGAAAGAAAGAAAGGGAGGGAGGAAAAAGAAAAAAAGCGTGAAATGAAAAGAAAGAATAGCCTACAGTGCAAATAGAAAGAACAGAATGAAAAGAAACGAAGTATAGTCTAGAGTGCAAATAGAAAGAAAGAAAGAAAGAGTGAAGGAAAGAAAGCATAGAATGATAAGAAAAAGAATAGCCTAGAGGCCCTAGAGACTACCAATAAAAAGAAAACAATCACAGAATGAAAAGAAAGAAAAGAGTATAGTCGAAAATGCAAAAAGAAAGAAAGAAAGAAAGAAAGAAAGAAAGAAAGAAAGAAAGAAAGAAAAGCAGCACAGAGTAAGAAAAAGGAGAGTTCAAATAGAATGAAAGAAAGAAAAGCATAGAGTGGACAGTGCAAGCAAAAGAAAGAAAGAAAGAAAGAAAGAAAGAAAGAAAGAAAGAAAGAAAGAAAGAAAGAAAGAAAGAAAGAAAGAACATCGAGTCCAAATAAACAAATAGCAATAAGAAAGAAAGAAAGAAAGAAAGAAAGAAAGAATGAAAGAAAGAAAGAACAACATCGAGTCCAAATTAATAAACAAATAGCAATAAGAAAGAAAGAAAGAAAGAAAGAAAGAACAACATCAAGTCCAAATAAACAAATAGCAATAAGAAAGAAAGAAAGAAAGAAAGAACATCGAGTCCAAATAAACAAATAGCAATAAGAAAGAAAGAAAGAAAGAAAGAAAGAAAGAAAGAAAGAACAACATCAAGTCCAAATAAACAAATAGCAATAAGAAAGAAAGAAAGAAAGAAAGAAAGAAAGAAAGAAAGAAAGAAAGAAAGAAAGAAAGAAGCCACAAAACAAAAGTGAAAAATGACTTCAACAGCAACAAACGCGTGCCATCGGTTTGGTTGTTGGCGGTACGAAACTCCTTTGCCGTCACTTTCGTCTTCGATAGAGAAAGCTAAAAAGGACCGTAAAAATAACAAAGAAACAAAAAAGAAACGTCAAAGCAACAAAACAAGAACTATTAGTCACGTGATGTTGTTTACAAACTGTTCGAGATATGCACAAGAAATTTGAGCAACGTATGTAAATGTCTCTTTGGTTATAGTATGAAATCACTCAAAGTCTCACTCTCCTCTACCTTTCATCCTCTCTCTGTCTCCGTCGAGGTGGATAGATATTGCAAGTGGGTATTTCAGATTTTATAAGTATTCTATGCAGACTTCTTGCTTGATTGTAAGTTTCTCGAGCAATATTTTCCAACCTTTTTTCTTTTTTTTTCTTTATCTGACGATTCACTTTAACGTATACATAAACTTCAAACTTAAATTATGTAATCAAAAATGAGTTTTAAAAAGGGCATACTTTTTAGTTTTTACGATTTATTTATTAACACAAACAAAACGATTTATTACTGTAGTGTAGGGTAACAACAGACAGGGCCGGTGCAAGGGCTCTGTGCCCCCACCCCTGAATGTATGATAGGGTGTCCCCTCTCTGCTTCATCTCAGTTTTCATAAGCTAGTATTCGTATAAAACACAAATTTTATTGTAACCTAATTATGCAATATAGATGAACAATTTTTTTTTTTTTTTGAATTTTGAAGTTTGATTTTTAAATTTAATTAAAAATGAGATCCTTCTTAATTATAATAATTTTGGATAGAAGGTAAACATGGCCGCTTATGTTGCTTGCAATGATAATGCAACACAATAATATGCACAAATTTTTTTTTTATATATACACACACGAAAATGTGCTTCTTATTTATTATAACTTGATAGTTTTATTTATACTTTTATTTCATTTTAAGCAAAAGATAATTATTTAAGTTCTCTTAAAAATTTACATCGGGTATTAAAATCCACAGTGAAGTAGAAATGCTCAAAGTTTTATAGCTTCGTTGATGAACAATTCAACTAGAAAATTAAATACAATGTATCTAAAAACAAATTAGAGACATCTCATAATAGATCATTCCATCTTAAATAAAAACAACGATGTTTTGCGGCAATAATTAACATCAACTTGAGATGTTTCTTGTTAAAAACTGAATAATTTAAAAAATTCAACATTATGGATAAAAAAAAAAAATAATGAATTTTATATAGTGCTTTTTTTTTTCGAGACTTGAGCAAAACAAATTCAGGGACTTGAACGGAAAAAATAGACCCCATAATGACGTCAAAATCCGCGAAAATTTTTCATCCTTTAATAGAAAGTGGTGCTTTTAGTTTAATTTGTAACGTATATAAATGTAAGTAGAAAAAAAGCAAACGTTGTTACGATAGCGGGTGTCGCAGAGCCCTGCCCGATGCCTCCAATCGGGCTTGCAAGCCTCCCAACCCCGGTCGACGTGTTCGGTGATAGTGGGCGCCGGTCCTGGATTTAGATAGAAACCCTCGCCTAGCTAGCAGATAGTTAATGCTGTTGCCACAGTTAGCGGATAATCGAAGTGAGTTAGTGCACTTGGCACAGTTAGAGAATTATTCCGGACCCGAGAAAGGGTTGAAATAAGACGTACCGAGACCAACGTCCAAACTCACACCAATGGGGAAACAAGAGATATTCCTAGATGGTAATCCACGACCTCACCTTAACTCAAAGGCAGTGATCTTTTAGAGTAAGACCACCACATTGTTTATATTACGTTTTATTCTCGTTTTGCATTGTTACAGTTAATAAAAATGGTAAAAGTATTTTGGTACCCCTCTTTTCATTTCCCCTTAGTAACTCGTACCTATATGTTTGGGGCTTGAGATAAGAAACTTTTATAAAATAACAATCAAACATATATATATATATATATATATATATATATATATATATATATATATATATATATATATATATATATATATATATTAAGCGTTCACCCAAAGCAAGGCGGGGAAGCCACTAGGACGCAAGGGGTTACAGAAGATTTGGAGCAAGATCAGATAGGAGTGATAGAGAAAAGGATGAGGAGAAGGATAGTGGATAGATCAAGGCAACTGGAGATGTCGATTGACATTACATTTGAATAGGTGGAGATTATAGCTCTCAGGGAAACTGGAATAGGGAATAGTTCCACAGGCGAGAGGTACGATAAATGTGTATGTGTGTGTGCGTGTGTGCGTGTTTGTGTGTGTGTATTATATACATATAATTCTAAGCTCTTCAGTAAAATGAATGGGGCACTTTGGCTGGTTGGCATTTGTTTACATTCGTAAAAACAATACGCTAGATTTAGCTACGCAACTCTACCGAGTGAAGATAGCTCTGTGGTAGAAGCTCTGACTAAGACCCGATGAGTTGGGTTTCGAACCTGGCTTGAGACACTCAGATGTCTAATCGCGCTCAGGAGCTGAATAGCATATATATATATATATATATATATATTTGTTTAATTTTGCTATACTTATGAGAGAAGAGTGTTCAAAATCTAGATCATCGTTTGCAGATGGGGAGTGTGAGCAAATTTGCGTCCAGGTTTTTACAACATGTCCCGTGGCACAGTTAGTGAATCAGTCCGGACATTAGAAAGAGTTGGAATAAGTCATGTCGTGACCAACCTTCATACTAATAAGGAAAAAAGACATTCCTAAATGGTAATCTCACCTTAAAGGTACTATTTACAGTACGACCATCATATATTCTAAGTACAATGTTTATGTCATGTTGTTTTGCATTGTTACTGTTAATAAAAATAGTAAGCGTATTTTGGCACCCCTCTTTTCATTTCCCTTAGTGCCTCGTGTCTATATGTTTGGGAGCTCCTTAGCGTAGGGGGTCATTATAATATAACAACCCAACATCATCCTTTCCTTGTTTTATTCTGATAACTAGGGTTTTAAATAGCGATCGGATAACTGAGATGAGTTAGTGCTCTTGGCACAGTAAGAGAATTAGTCTGGACCTGAGAAAGGGTTGAAACAAAACGTGCCGCGAAAAACGTCCAGACACACGCCAATGGGGAACAAAAGAAATCACGAGATGGTAAGCCATAAAACTCACGTTATCTTAAAGGCTTTTAGAGTACGGTCATCACATATTGTAAGTACAATGTTTATGTCATGTTTTATTGTCGTTTTGCATGGTTATAGTTAATAAAAATGATAAACGTAATTTGACACCCCTGTTTTCGTTTCCCTTAGGGCCTCGTATTTATATGTTTGGGAGACCCTTGGGGCAGGGAGTCATTATAAGATAACAACGTAATAATTATATAGTCAAAATTTAAAATCTCTTCAAATAAAACATAATAATTAAAAGATAGTCTTCTTAGAGTGTACACCCCTCTCTTGAAGAGATTGTAACACATCTATTTATCATCTCTCAGTTGCGTCTCTGTCTTTGGGCAGAGTGCACTCAGGGGCGACTCCCTCAAAGGACGCAACTGAGGAAAATTATACTGAGAGATGCCCAACCCTGGGGAACAGCTTCCCAAGGCTGCGCCCTCTCATTGGACTAGAGAGAGGGATCGGTGCTCGCACCGAGACCAGTGCAACCGATGGTTCTGGGGGCTGCGGGCAATTTTTGTTCCTGGCTCGGGTGTACGCTCTCGGGTCTCCACCTTAAAAACATACCTTGTATCACAGCGCATCTTAGTGGGAAGACAGAGTAAATACCTAGTCTTCTTGTTGAAGTAGCATAATTTATTATCTTATTATAATTGCGCTTATCCATCCTTTCGTTAGTTTGTACGACCGTTACGCCCTGCCAATGCCTCATAAAACTGGACTATTTTGGTTTGATCGCGTGGAAAAAGAGGAAAAGACACTACTTGGTTTCAGTGAGAAATTTAATTTTTTTTTTTTTTTTTTTAAGCATTGTGCCCCAAGCAAGGCGTGAAGCCACTAGGATGCAGGGGGTTTGGAGCGAGAGCAGATAAGAGTGATAGGAGAAAGGAAGAGGAGAAGGATAGTGGGTAGATCAAGGTAATTGGAGATGTCGATTGACATTACATTTGAATAGTTGGAGATTATAGCTTTCAGGGAAACAGTAATTGGGGAGGGTGTTCCACTGGCGAGAGGTGCGAGGTATGAAGCTATTGGAGTATAAGAGACGGCTACATTTGAAGGTTTCTACGGTGTAATGGTGAGAGCGGGATGCCAGCCTCGTAGGGCGCTTGAATTCATGGAGTCTGGGAACCAGAGAGCAGCTCATCAGAGCAGTTACCATGGAAGTATTTGTAGAAAAGACAGAGAGAGGCGACGGCGCGTCTGTGAGAGAGTGACTGCAAGCAAGACGCTAGATCAGGGCCAATTAGATTACATATCCTTCTCTGGATCTTGTCGAGAACTCCGAGGTAAGCGGAAGGTGCTCCAGCCCATATATGGCAGCAATACTCCATGCAAGGGCGAATGGTTGTTTTATATATTTGAAGTATCGATTCAGGGGAGAAAAAAAATTTCCTGGCGCGGCACAGAGAGCCAACTTTCCTCGCGGTGGAAGAAGCAATTGACTCAATGTATTTGTTCCATCTCAGGTCAGCAGTCAGCGTGAGACCGAGCAGACGCAGGGAGTTGCTCTCAGGAAGTTGACTATCAGACATTTTAATGGGGGGTAGGGAAGGATCTCTATGGTGGTTAATGGAGAGTAATTTAGTTTTAGTGGCGTTAAAGTTGACCAGCCAATTCTTGCCCCAGTTAACAACCGATTGGAGGTCCATTTCAAGACGCACGGCCAGGTTAGTTTTGTCGCCGACACTAGACTTGTTTTTGAGGCAGGAGTAAATTGTAGTGTCGTCTGCATAGATGCCGACCTGGGAATCTATAGCTTCAGGAAGGTCGTTGATGAAAATGAGGAAAAGAGTGGGGCCAAGGATGGAGCCTTGGGGCACACCTGCGTTAATGGGATAGGAACTGGAGGAGAATCCGTTGAGAACGACCTTCAATTCTCGGTTAGACAGGAATGATTGTATTAGATCAAACAGTTGATCAGAAACACCATACCCCTGGAGCTTACGAAGGAGGCCGGCGTGCCAAACCCTATCGAATGCTTTGGAGATGTCGAGGGCCACAGCACGAGCCTCACCGTTATTTTGAAAGGCTTGGTAGACGGTTTCAGTGATGGCCGTAAGCACATCAGCTGTAGATCTGGCGTAGCGGAAGCCATATTGCTTGTCTGAGAGCAGATTATGGGATGTGAGGTGATTAGCCACTTCGGCATTGATTAGGGCTTCGAAGACTTTGCCGAACAGGGGTAGGAGACTAATAGGACGGTAATTAGTGGGGTCAGAGGGGTCTCCAGAGTTCTTAAACACAGGAACAATGGATGAGGACTTCCAGCAGTCAGGAAAACATGATTCCTTGAGGCAGTAATTATACAGTTTAGAGAGGGCGGGTGCTAGCTCAGGCGCGCATTTCTTCAGGACAATGGCTGGTATGCCGTCTCCACCACTAGCCTTGTGGGGGTCTAAGGTGGAGATAATGCCCAGTACCAATGACGGGGTTATGTGTAAGCCGCTCAGTAAGGCCTCAGTTCTAAGAGGGAAGTCTGGTATGGGAACACCGGTGGAATCGAGCGTTGAATTAAATGAGAATTTCCGAGCAAAGCATTCAGCCTTGTCGGTAGGGGAGGTCAAGACCTCGAACTGGTTGAATAAAGGAGGTATGGTGGGTTTTCGATTATTCAGGACACTCTTGCAGACTCGCCAGTAATCTTTGGAGCCAAACTTGTGAGATGCAATACGTTCCTTCATTTCTAGCAGCAAATATTGACTTAGCTTCGTTGAGGACACGCTTACACTCGTTACGGGCAGAGGCAAAGAGACGTCTATTGCAGTCAGACATGTCGCTACGGAATCGGTGAAAGAAGTGATTCCTATGGGCGATGGCAGATGAGCAAGCAGCGGAGAACCAAGGGGAGGAGGCGATTTGACCTTAAATTTCCTTGAGGGGATGAAAGCGTCGATTCCAGCTTTAACCCAGGATGAGACCTCAGAAGCACATTCTTGGACAGGGAGTGTAAAGACAACATCCCAGGGGACATCGCGGAGGAAGTCACGGAACGAGTCCCAATCCGCTCGTTGATAGTAGAACGAGGTTCTTGTGATGGGAGGTTCTTTGCAGGGCGTGAAGTTGAAGGAAACGTTGACAGATACCACAGCGTGATCAGAGTTGCCAAGCGGGCAGAGCTGTGTGGCGCTACAAGATTCGGGGATGGAGGTAAAACACAGGTCAAGAAGAGAGGCCTTGCCTGCCAGGTCGAGGGCAAAACGCGTGGGGAAGTCGACTATCTGCGTGAGGGATTGAGAAATTGAGAAGTTAAATGTTTGAATGCCAGCCCGGTCAGTAATAGCATTCTCGAGCCACTTGGTGTGATGGGCATTAAAGTCACCAAACACGAATATATGAGCAAACGGGTGGAGAGAGAGGGCCTTGTCTATGCTGTCAGATATGCTATCAAGTATCCCACAGTCTTGAGAGGATGGAGAGCGATAGAGGAAGAAGAGATAGCTTACGGCATTGAGGAGAGATAGTCGGAGACACATGTACGACAGGTCTGGCGATTCGAGAGACAGCTCTCTGGCCAGGGGAGATGGTCCTTGACATAGACACCAAGGCCGTGCATGTGGGTTAGAGAGTCTTTCCTGAGGAGAGGAAGGTAGCCAGGGATCGAGAGATCAGAGGAGGGAATAGACGAGACAAGGTTTGTCTGACACAGAGCCAGTATATCCGGGCAGTTTGCAGTGAGGAAAGATTCCAAACTGCAGAAGTTTGTTCTAATGCCACGGATGTTGGCGAACGAAATGTTAAGGGGTTTAGGTGATTTTTTTGCGGGGCTGGTTTAGTTTTACGTTTTGATTCAATCGAGTCTTCATGTTTAGTGATTGTTGGAAGATGAGAAAGCCTGAAGTATAGAGAAGCAGATGGTTATCGACCGCAACGTGAGCAGAGAGGAGTTGGCACAGCCTGCATCATAGTGTGGCCTCAGGGTTGCCCACCGGAGGTGACTGCAGGGACACCGATCCATGCGCGTCATGGCACTACAAACACCCCGGTATTATACAACTGTTGATCAGAGCGGCCGCTCAAGACGCTACGCAAGAGTTAGGGCTCCTAACTACCAGTCGGAAACAGCAACCAGTAAACTGTCAACCGTGTACCCTCAAAATGAAGAGGCAATGCCACAGACTGCGCACGTCACGGGAGAAACACATCAGTACTCGTACAGAGAGAGAGAAAAGTGCCGGGAACCCCTTCTTAGACAGGAAACAAGGTGTGAGCCTCTGCGCTTGTCCAGGGAAGGGGGAGGAGTGTTGACCGGGCGGTAGGAGGGTCTATCTACTCCTATTACATATAACACATAACAGTGACAATAGACAAACAGATAAGGGCCGGGAAGTAGTAGGCAGTGCCCATTCTGGCACTATACGTGCATTAAGGGGGATAGGATGGAATATTTTAGTATTTTATATTTATACAACACTAAGTTTTAACTTAGTATAAGTCCCAATGTTAAGCAAAGGGACTTTTTTTTCTTTTTTTTTTTTTGCCAGGGGTAGTGGGGGGGGGACGATTTCCAACTACACAAACAAGTTATCAGTTAGGTTAGAACAAGTATTAATGTTAAATTAGTCGGAGTAATCAAGCAACAATAGCTGAATAGAATAAATACGTAAAACATGAATATATATATATATATATATATATATATATATATATATATATATATATATATATATAGAGAGAGAGAGAGAGAGAGAGAGAGCGAGAGAGATATGCTATCGGATGCGTCTTTGGTAGAATGAATTTATACTCACACATGGCGGAAAGTTATTCTTCGAGTCAATTCAGTGGGACCAGTGATTGTACGGCTAGCCATGTCTCAGACCCAAGCGTCAAGTTACAAATAACGCAGTGCTGGGGGGCGTCAGTGACCATTCCTACCCTTCCCCAACAGTGGGCTTGGGAAAATTTGCATTAATAAAATATTTAAACCACGAGGAGAACGAACGGCAAAACGATTCCGCGAGAGGTCAAATTTTTTTTTTTTTTTTTTATCGAGCAAAAGACATAGCCACAGGGCCAAAGAATACTGAAGACATGTTAACGCGGGGTGAAGGGACATTTTTTCCCTTTTTTATTCAAGAAAGAAAGAAAATAAGAAAAACAGACGTGTTCAACGTTTATTTCCCTGAAATGTAAAATGTTGTCAATTTCAAATCTTTTCATTTGTACCCACTTCTTAAAATAACGACCAGAATTTCTATTTATAATTGTTATTGCAATATTTTATTAAAGTTGTTAAGCTCAAATATTTAACAATGTGATAGTGAAATTTACAGATATTTTATAGATAGAACTTGCCATGAGCCTATCATTAACTTAAGAATTAAGATTCGTTAGAAAATTCAAATAGGTAAACCATAAAATTTTCACGGGTCTTTCTAGTCAACAATTAATATAGAAGCAACAAAACTGGGGATTCTACTACGAACCATTTGTTCTTTTTCTTTCTTTTTTTTTTTATAGAAACCGTAGGGAAACAAAGTTCTCGATGTCTCTTGGATATGTCTGATTTTTTTTTCTTTCTGGCCCAGAAGTAAATTAGAGTAAGTAGTGATATAAATGGTTATAATGGTTAAGCTCAAATCAGCTTTGCGCTGTGTTGGAACGACCAAAATAAATGTTGTATTTACTTTATGGCGGGGGCTGCAAAACAACGTCCGAAAGGAGAAAGGGATTATTGTAAGTACTATTTTTATGTCATGTTTTACTGTTGTTTCGCATTTTTATTTTGAACAAAAATGGTAAATATATTTTGGCACCCCTTTTTTTCATTTCCTTTAGTACCTCGTATCTCTATGTTTGAGAGTTTCTTGAGGTAGGGAGGTGTTATAAAATAACTGACCCAACATTACAATTTGCAATAAAAATATAATTAAAATTCTTAAAAAAACATATATTCATTTAATTTTCTGTTTATTATATTTAATGAGAAATCTGAACTTGACTTTTTTTTTAAATATCTTCTTTGCAAGATCGGATTTTGAACAGGCATAGTTTTGAATTTTCTTCCAAGGATTCTAACCGTAATCGAATTTGATTTTTAACATGGTTTATTGCCGAAAAGCTTGCTTTTTCTTTTATATTAGGTATAAGTTTATTTATTATAACAATGATATACCCATATAATTAATTTAAAGGTATTTTAATTTTGATATGTACCGTTATTGTGCTTTGGATTTCTTTTGGAAAATAATTTCATTAATGACCTTTAAAATTTTTTGCGGCACAACTAAGATCCTCTCATGGTAAACCAGTGTACTGTGATAGATAGATAGATAGATAGATAGATAGATAGATAGATAGATAGATAGATAGACCAGTGTGCCGCAGAACGTTGGTTGAAAATCACTGGATTAAAACAATAACTACCATTGTCTGTCTATATTTCTGAGATGAGGTATTGTAACTATTTACACTATTTACATCGTTCGGACTGTTGTCCTCATCTTTTTTGTCATATTCACGACGTTTCGACCATTGTACGCTCCGGCCTTCTTCAGGATCTGTCTATATATCTGAGATGAGGTATTGTAACTATTTACACTATTTACATCGTTCGGACTGTTGTCCTCATCTTTTTTGTCATATTCACGACGTTTCGACCATTGTACGCTCTGGCCTTCTTCAGGATCTGTCTATATATCTGAGATGAGGTATTGTAACTATTTACACTATTTACATCGTTCGGACTGTTGTCCTCATCTTTTTTGTCATATTCACGACGTTTCGACCATTGTACGCTCGGGCCTTCTTCAGGATCTGTCTACATATATGAGAAATTGTCTACATATATGAGGTATTGTAACTGTTGTGTAAACAGTTACAATACCTTATTTATATCGTTCGGACTGTTGTCCGTATATTTATTGCCATATTAACGACGTTTCGGCCTTTGTACGCTGCGATCTTCTTCAGATGATATATGTTGGAATTTCGAACCGAACCTTTTATTTGGTCCACGGAGGTAAAATGTTCTGATTCCACGTGCCATGCCTATTTTGGATATCTCAGTTTCAGTTAATTTTCTTTAGTAACTCAACTCTCCAAGTTTTTGTTCTTTTGTTCCTTTGTTTCTTCGACAGTACCTCTCCTTTGCGATGGGGCAGGGTTTATTGCCTAGTACCCCAGGCGACCCAACAGGAAAATTCGTAGCGACGTGGGCGCGCTGAAATATACCGACGGCCTTTTCACTGGGATCAAAGTGTAGCATCTGGCCTTGGGTGGATAAGCTACATTTCATCTCCAGTTATCTGTCTGTTTGCGGTCAGAGTGCAACAGAAAATATTATTGAGAGATTCGCGGTTTCGGGAAACAGCTGTCCGGGGCACATCCTGCCAGCGTGGAACGGCAAGAAAATACAATCGCTTCTCGATCTTTTGGTTAAGATCAAAATGTAGTATCTGTTCCTATCAACTTCATCTGCTTCTCTCGCTCTCTCTCTCTCTCTCTCTCTCTCTCTCTTCTCTTTCACCATGTCTTGCTTCCTCTTTCTTTTTCTTTCTTTCTTTCCTACTTTCTTTTTTTTTTTTTTCATTTTCTCAGTGAAAACAAGTAGTGTATTTTCCTCTCTTTCCATGCGTCCAAAATGGAATAATCCATTATTTATTTGGTATTGCCCGATGGTAAAATCTTTCGCATTTTCTTTCTTTCTTTTCCCACCTTTCTTTCGTTTTTCTTTATTCTTTCTTTCTTTCTTTCTTTCTTTCTTTCTTTCTTTCTTTCTTTCTTTCTTTCTTTCTATTTTTCCCACCTTTCTTTCGTTCTTTCTTTCTTTCACATTTTCCTTCTTTTTTTTCTCATCTTTCTTTTGTCTTTTCCTTTTGTCTTTCTTTCGCATTTTTCTTTCTTTCCTTCCGTCTTTTGCGTTTTCTTTCTTTCTTTTTCCACCTCGGTTAGTTTCTTTCTTTCTTTCTTTCTTTCTTTCTTTCTTTCTTTCTTTCTAAACAAGTAATGCGGCCAAAACGGAATAATCTCTTATTTATTAAGTATTGGCAGATGTTAAATACTTCTTACTTGCTTGCTGGCTTTCTTTTTTTTCATTTCATCCCTGAAACCAAGTAGTGTCTTTTCCCCTCTTTCCACGCGATCAAAACGGAATAGTCCGTTATTTATGAGGTATTGGCAGGACGTAATGGTCATGCGAACTAACGAAAAGAGAGACAAGCACAATTATTATACGATTATAAAAATAGCGATCAACGACCAATAACATTAAGTATCATGCAATTTTTCTCTGACCATGTCTTGCATTATTTTTGCCGTTCCTAAAAAACTTCGTTTTTGCAACGGTTCCACTGTGCAATCAATGCTAGTTTTCTTTAACCATGTCCCTATTCTCTCAATCCCATTTTCACCTCCTCATATTTATCGACGCCAGGTATCTATCGATCCCCTTTTGGCTATCAGGTAGTTATCGACCGTCTTTTGACGCTTAGGCATTTATCGGCCTTCCTGGCTAATCACATCGTCTCTCAGGGGTCGATATCGGCCAATTTAAGTATCCCTGGTCTGCTATAAGGCTATACAGTCATCCAACTAAGTACTGATCTGGATCATCGGTGACTAACTTTGTGGATCAAAATTACTTAATCTGACACAAGGTATCTATAAGCAAAAGTTCAGTGTTTGTTTTTTTTTTAACTACAGGCTGAATGCACAGTTGAAAACTAGTTTATCACTGGAAACTTTTACACACATTGAATACATTACCTGGACTTCCAGAACTATCACCCATATAGGATTTTTTTTTTTAGTGAAAAAAAAAAAGGGAACAGCTCAAGATGCAAATTACAAATTGGGGGCAGCAGAATCAAACAAGTGCAACAATTTAATTATCGAGTAAGTGTTTTACCAGAGGACGGAAAGTGCGACACTGAACTCTGAAGGTGCACGTGGATAGTCAAAGAAGCCTACCAAAAGCTAAGCAAAGTATTAAGAAACAGGAAAATTTAAATAGAAACAAAGAAAAGAGAGTTCTGAAATGTTGAGCAATATCAGTCCTCCTATTTGGCAGTGAATGCTGGACAATCTTCTCACAGATGAAGAACAGATGAAGCAACAGAAAAATGGTTCTACAGCAGGATGTTAAGAATACCATAGACTGAACATGTGAGCAATGACAAAATTTTAGAGAAAATAGAAACAAACAGGACGCTTTTGCTTAACATAAGAAAGAGATAGTTAAAATTTCTAGGGCACATAATGAGGAAAGAGGGCTTGGAAAATTTGACACTCATATGGCATACTGAAGGCAAGAGTAACAGAAGAAAACAGTGCATAATATAACAAGATTGTACAAATGGATAGCAGAACAGGGTTTTGGAGAGATAATAAAATGACAAAATTTACTAAGAGCTATAAAGGATAGGAAATTGTGGAGAGCCATGATCACCAATGTCCTGAATGAGTACAGCACATAGAAGAAGAATGTAATATACGCCATTTAACTGAGAACCAGACAGTTCTATAAGAAACAGACAAAATGGTTAATGAAGGTAGAGGAAAGACGTCTAACAAACGTTTGAGGTAACGTTAACTTATGGGCGTACAACAAACACAGATGACACGAGCCGAGTTTAAAAACATACGACAAAGTTATTCTTAACAGTCAAAAAAGAATTAGACAAATTAAGTGCTTTGCGTGCCAAATAATGGCCAGTACAAAGTATGTAAATTATCGGGTGACAGAACTAATTTCAACTCGGAACCTCAAAAGGGTAAATTGCAGTTCAAGCCCCACGCTCGGTTTCTAATAAAAATTTCCCAAATAGTTCCATTTAGGTGTAAATGTGCATGCTTAATTCGAAAATAACGAAGAAATTTTGATAAAATCTACCGTTTTGGAGTTATCGACTATAAAAGTTCGGACTCATTCGCGTCGCGGTGGGTGAAGTTGAAATTAATTCTGCACCCCAAATTATCAATGAAAATGAAATATGCCTTTTTACAATTAAAGTTATAATGCCGCAGAAGAAAGTTCTCAGAAAAGAAAACAGCATAAAGTGAAGAAAAGGAGAAATATTTCTCTTAATAGAATAATTTGGCACAATTTTTGAAGTAAAGTTCGTTGGTCGTCATTGTTTAATGGCATATCAACCTTTATGGGTTATTTAATACCGAAATCTAAATATTTTAAACATAATTTTTTTTTTTAGAGATAATAATGGTTTTAAACCTTACTAATTAACGTAAGAAAGGAGATGTGGATTCATACCTTTCCCAATGGTATTTGCGCTTAAGTGAAAATAACGAACCAATCTGAAATTGGAACTCGGCTCTACGATTAACAATTCCGAGTCATTATCCTCTACACCACCTGCACCTCTTAGATTACAGCACAAATTTCGTGGTAACAGCGAAGAATAGATAAATCACACCAACCGAAGGCTGTTCGACGCTACGATAGTATGCGGTCAACCGCACTATGAATTATACCGTAACTTCATCTCTCGTGTTGTCCACCTGCGGTCGACCACGTTGAATTCTACCATCACCTCACCCCTCGTGTGTCCTGTCCACATAAAAGGAAGGAAATGGCGCTCCCACATCAGAATCCCCCTCGGTCTGAAACCGTTAGCATCAGTTGGATAACCTCTTTCAGATTAAAATGTTGCTGAAAGATATTTATAGACATGTCATGTTGACCGCGGAGGCACATTCCTCAATCCGAGCCGCTATCCATTACGCCACCGTGCCTCCGCGGTCAACATGTCATGTTGACCGCGGAGGCACGGTGGCGTAATGGATAGCGGCTCGGATTGAGGAATTGGAGAGCTGAGTTCGAATCCATTACATTCACTTACGTGCTAATACAGGATATGAATCTTCTTCTCTCTTCCCCCCACCACACCTCCAGCTATGGGTAAATAGCAGGACAGACCGGCTTCTGTAGCCTTCGATGGCAACTGGTCTACCACAGAAAGAAATGACAACCTACTGCGGGAAAAAAAAATCTGACTCGTCAGTCATGTATCGAAAGATACATGATCGCCTACTATAGTGTATCATGCATGGTACATAACTGACTGACATCTTGACCGGGGAAACAGCAGTCACATTTTTATGTGAAAACAATCTGCTAGATACGTTATAGTGATAGATAGCGCGGTAAACCATCATACTATAGTAGTAAATGAGGTAGACCACATGCTATAGTGTTTGGTACCGTGGTAGACCGTAGATTATGGTAACACGGACTATTCTTTGATGTGAGAGCGACATTGTTGTTCTTTTCGTCTAGTGGTTGTCTAAATTCTTCTGCATTGTTTTCTTTCTGGACCGGAGCGACCTGGGTTCCTGCATCAGCTGTGTGTCGACTTCGAAAATCAAATCCAAGGCCCCCACCTCAAATAACCCCCACCTCCAAATACACTGCTAGAAATTTGGAGGGGAAACTAGTTTATTGGTTTGAAGGAAAAACAAACAAATGCAGAGAAGCACAAACACA